CCTCCCCCCACCACCATAGGCTCCATCCTTCACCCAATAGCTAGTGTGAGGTAAAGTGAGACCCCTGACTTTAACCCACTCTTAATGCTTAACATTCACCTCATCCAACCCTTAAAGTATAACCTAATCCTTAAGTAAGCCCTTAAGAGAACTATGGGGTAACCTTTTTATCCCATAGTTCTCTTTAGGGTCACAGGACATATACTAACGTACTCTCGTGACCCAAAGCTCAGTATATAGCGAGCTATATATTGAGAGCGACGCAGCCAGGCTGGATCACAACAATCCTGTTGAGATCCACCCAGCTGGTTGATTGACAGCGGGCTCTGCCCATCTAGTCAGCACTAGCGGATCGGAGAGATGGTGGGGAATCCCGGCAGGGAGATGATGGGGACATGAGCGAGCGATGGTATGCGTTCGCTCGCTTCGTGATCAATAGAGCCGACGTGTCACACATCGGCTCTAACTTTGAGCAGTGTAAATCACTAACCTTATTAGTTCTCCTTTAGGCTTCCTAGAACACAACCTAACCATGAAGCTTAACCTGATTCTAGAACATGACGTAGTATTAAAGGCTGGGCGTTTACCTCCATGCATTCTCTGCATTAAGGTAAAAAAAACGCCCAGTACTTTTTTTTGACCAAACTTACCTGTCACCGCCGCTGGTCCTCGCAGTGATCCTCTGTCCCCAACTTCCTGGTTGCTGGGGAGGAGATTGAGGGCAGAGGAGCTATGGGCGCCTTGTGCCGTCAATTAACCTGTTGGGTAGAGGAGGGGTGTGGCCTGTGGCAGCACTGTGTGCGTCCATAGACAAGCCAACAGGCCCATAGCAGAAATGTAAAAATTGCTCTGGTCCATAGAGGCTGTATAGGTATGAGAGTGGAAGTGGTTACTGAAGTTCAAAATATGCACTCCTTTCCGCCGCACTTTATAAAAATGTAGCAAATCTTAAATCAATTTTAAAACAATCTTTGGTCTCTTGGACCGGAAGCTTTGGACACATTCTATACAAAAAAACCAAAAAACACACACCTGGTGTAGGAAGAAGCCCAGCTGAGGATCTGTCAGATAGAAGAGATTGTTTCCCTACTCCCATTAATGGGTTCCTGACAGGTGTAGGAAGAAGTGGTGGAGGCTTTGCCAGGGCATCTGATGAAACGCAGGGTAGTGCTTTATAAATGGCATTAGCTGGATCCTCCTTGAGCTCGACTTTTTTAAAACCTACGTAAGCAAACATGTTATTAGAAAACCTTGTTGACAGCTCTACTTCCATAAATAACAGACAGACACACAAAATCTCCAGTCCAGATGTACCTCTATGTCCAGATGCACCGATACATAGGCAATTATAGAGCTGACATTTAAAAACACAACAAATTACAAGGCAAGCTTGCTTGATTTAGGGGACTCAACCCCTTCACGACTGATGACGCACAGTGTAGGTCGCTAGCATCGGGGCTGTTTAAAAAAGACTCCTGGCGGCTCTTGCACTTCAATAGCTTATTTGGAGTGGAAAGGTGACACTGGGGGTCTTTTGGACACCCAGCATCACCTTAAAGAGTACCGGTCACCACCATCTGATATCACATGGGGGACTTGTAAGCCCCCTATGTGATTGCAATCAAAGTTTAAAAAAAAAAATAGGATTTTGGTACTCACCGTAAAATCCTTTTCTCTCCGTTCATTGAAGGACACAGGGAACAGATCGGAGATCATGTACTGTAGGGTAATATCGCCACCTGCAGGAGAAGGACGCTAGGCACAAAAAAACTAAAGACCAATTACAGCCTAGGGGCGGCCCCTGCCGGTGGCCATCCGTGTCCTTCAATGAACGGGAGAGAAAATACGTTTTTAAAATTAAAATAAATCTAAAAACAATAAAAAAAAGTTAAGTCCCCCACGAGCACGCGCGTCGCCATGTAAACACGCGTCAGATGCAACTACGTATGAAAACGACGAACGCGCTACACATGTTGGGTATCGCTGCGCACGCCGGATTGAGAGCAATAAATTCTAGGGACAGTATTTTTGGGTATCTCTAAACTGATTACCTGTGGCGGCTTTTAAAGCGTATATGGACTTTTTGGGTTACTGAAGTTTGTCGCCGTTTCACGTACGCACACAATTTTTATCCAATGTAAGCTGCAATGTATATGGACAAAGAGAGAAAACACACAGAAAAAGCAAAAGCAGGTATAGAATGGCCTGCTTACCTTGATTGGAAAGGAGACTGATACTAGCTGATGGCCTGTCACCCAGCAAGGAAGGCTTAGCGAGTCCTCCAAAGGAATTCCTGGCAGGTGTGGGAAGCAGTGGAGGAGGCTTCTCCAAGAGATGTGTTTTACTGTTGGTGTGACTATCATATGCAGGATTAGCCTGTTCAGTAGTGTCTGCTTCTTCAAATCCTAAATTCCAAAACAAGTTAGGCAAGGATAGAAATATAAAAAAAAACAAAAAAAAAAAACCTATGCCTTTGCAACAACAACTTTATTATTGCTACCAAATACCAAGATCATTATGCAGCACACTTATACGAGCTTTAAAGTTAAAAAACCAAGACAGTTACACAAAACTGTTAACCGATGCATCATAATGTACAGTGAACAAAAAACACACGTTGTTTCCAAATGAGTATTCTTCATTTAGCTCCAGATTCACTTAAATTTTTATAATTTTCGAACATTATCAAAATTGCCATTATTTTGCTTTCAGTTTTTCAAAAGGTCAAAGAAAAAAAAAAAAAAAAAAGGAGAAAATCATAACTGCACTGGTCAGCTAAAGGAAAATATGATTTCATCCCATAAACCAGCTACCCCAACTTCTCCCTGCAGCCAAAAAAAGGTTAATTTTCACCAATTTATTTAAAAACATTCTTCCTTGGCTCATTTTATAAATCAAAATATAAACATCAGTCTGTGCTTCCCCAACAATACACCATGGCAAATATTTCTATTTTAAGCAGACAGTTTTGGGTGGAAGCTAAACTAACAGCTCTACCAGAAGAAAATCAACCCAGAAATCGGGTGACCATATAGGAGACAAAATGCTTGGTGTGAGCTGAACCGAGTCCTAGAGCTACAACTCAAAAATGCTAATCATGGAGCCAACAAGCTGCCCAGCTCCTCCAGCAACTGGGGGAGATTAGCCGATATTTATCCAGAAAGAATAGGATGCAACACTGTACTCTCCATCTTTTATTAGTTTATTGCAACAATACCTCTAGTCCCTAAGAACAGATGTTTAGCTGCTGAACTTTCAATGCATTACTGTTACAAGTAATGGAAACAACGTAGAGTGCTAAGGCTGAGGCATAAGGGACTGCTTAATATTTTAGGAGGAGGACACCAATTCTTGCAAATTTTGCTGATCATACAGTTGGAGAAACTGTTCAGCTTTCCATCAGATCTAAAAAAAAAATTGGCATCAATTACTGCACATTTGTTTCCCAATCTTAACTGACAAAACTACTGCAGTGCCAGCCAGAAGGAATTTGTATGACCATTTTTATTAACTTGTCAAGGAAAACCGGGAAGTGATAAATCATGGACGACAGATTGCTGCAGTTAAAAGTATAACTAAAGTCAAAACATTTGTTTTCATTTTGGAAGGAGTAGGCAATGGTGAACACAACCGTCAGGAAGTGTGAACCTCTCACAAACGTTGGGGAGATGCCCTCTTGAGACGGTTTACACCATAACAAGTGTCCCCATTGAAAGATTATCTTTCATTTATGTTCTGGTAGCAACTCAGAGTTCTATTTTCTCCATCACTTTTAATTCCACGGACAATGATCACCAGGACAAAATCAAGAGGGTGAATCTTCCCAGTGTTGACAGAGGTTGTAACCACTCACCACCTTATTTTAAAAACAAAAAGCCTTTAGATACACTTTTAAAAGGCTGATGGAAATCTCCAAGATTACCAAATGCAGTCGTCCAGTGTATGGTCATCAGGCTCAGAGCAGCAGAGCCTTAAAAGCTTCAGATTCAAAAACATTCAGAGCAACCATCTAGGAGTTGTAGCTCTAGGTCTATCACAGAGGAAGACTTCATCTATAGCAGACCTACATATCCTAGACTAAATCACTCCACACCAGAAGTCAGTACACATCGGACAGCGTCAACACTACTCATGCACAACCTCCAATCCAAAAATCTCCAGATCCAAAACGGATTTTGCAAACAAAGTTTTTTGATGCAATGATCACATATAGCTAGTCTATTATTACAAAGCCAGAGTTTCACTTTAAATGTCCTGTAGAATTTTTTTTTTTTAAAGTTTAGAACATAAAAACACTTATTGTGTTGGTGCTTACAAAAGTACAGGAGGTAAAATAGACCGTCATATGACTGAATATTTGTACCTTATGTTCAAATGTAAAATTTAAATTCGAAAAGAGGCTACAAACTGGAAGTACAAAAAATGCAAACCAGTCGACATTTCAAACCATTTGAGGAAATAAATTTATGAATAACTGATTATATTTAATGAAGTAATCCCAAAGTGAAGTGCAACTGCATCAAAAATGTAGTTTAAAGATTTTCATCTATTTATTTAATTTTTAAATTTCTTTTTAATATTTAAACGGAATGGATCCTTTTTGAAATTACGGTCTTTTGAAGTAGAATATGAAATGCGGTTCCTGACTGTAAAACACAAATGTAGATTTGGATGCATTTAACATTTAAAATGACCCTAAAAATGTATAAACTGGTCATTTATAAATTGGGCACTCAGCATGAGCTGGCAGCTATACTGACATCACAGCTGAAGGAAAACAAATGAATATTTTTATGTGTCCTGTTGTGTACATGGTAACCTTATATTTAGATGTTAAAATATTATTAGGATTCCATGGGTTTTCCCACGAGCATTAAAATATGTAAACGCATTTTAGGAAGCGATGTAAAGAATAAGGAAACAGTTTAAAGATGAAATTATTAGAAACATGTCTAGATCATTTTTATGAGTGATTCAAATGTAAAACTTGTGTAGAACACAGTCGCTGTGAGCAAGGGGTAACAGTGGTAGATGTTAAGGGTAATGGGGTTCTGGTCATGTGTGTGCACTGGGGACAAAATGGGAAATGTTAATTATACCTTCCAGCTCAGTTATCCTGGTCTTCAGGTAGTCACTGATTGCTTTCAGCTCTTCCGCATATAAATATTTGCCATCACTTAAGAGGAAGAGAAGGTGCCTAATGTCCAGAGGGACAGTGTAAGATTCATAGAGCTCCCTCTCCAGGTAGTCGTCTGCCAGATCAGCCGCTTTGTGTGAAATTTCATTACGCTCCTGTTGTTCACGCTCGCCAAAAACTTTCCCGAATGCCTTAACTACCAGAGCCAGGGCATCCTCCATTGGCATATTACGATGTACTATAGAGGAGAGACATAACTTTTTTTGTCAGTTTTTAGCTTACATCTTTTAAAATCATATAAAACCATGTGAAGTGCGGACGCAATGTCAAGTGTTTCTGCAGTGTATTTTACAAAGGGTTACTGACAGACCAAGTGTGTTTAAAGGATGTAATAAACTTCGGACAGCACCATCCTTTTAATCGTTTATGAGAAATGATGACAATCAAGATAAATTGCTACTCTAAGGTAAGACTGATCTGGCAGTTCAGCAAAACTTTATGGAATTACTTTCCTCAGTCAAGGTCCACAACATCTACACTGATAAAACTAATGTATAAGCATCTTATCCAAGCTTTTAATCCAATAGGCTAGGGGACTGAAAAATGACCCATGAACATTCAAACACAAGGGACCTGAAAAAGGGTTCACCTAAAAGTGTGCTATAAAAGGAATATTTATTGGTCGCCCACAGAGAGAGAAGAGAAAAAAAAAAAACAACAACACACACCTTTCTGTAGTTCATTGGCAATATTCTTTTCAGCACACCTTTCATATATCAGTTCACTGGTGTCTAAGGCTGGCAAAACAGAAGCGCTGAATTTAGGAAGATACAACGTACTTTGAATTCCTAGAGCACACAAATTACGTTAAAGCGTTCTAGGTAGAAGAGGGACAACATACAATATAAATTAGGAGAATTATTATTCAGCTTGTTGGAAAATCAGTCCCTGCAGGTGATTAGAGAAACTTTAGCAGTACAGAACGGTTTAATCCATGGAGTAGTTACAGTTTCAATGATAATTCCTGCTCTTTAAAGTACAAAAAAAAAAGGGAATGGATAATGTAATAAATAAAATTATGCTGGAGTTTTATCAGTGCTTATGCTGAGCTACTTTAATCTTGAAAGGATTGCTGGAATGCCACACCTAAAAAAGTACGGTGCTCATATTATTTAAGGGGTTTATTGACTGCCAATTACGTATAAAATCTGTAAGATAGTGCCAAACGAAGTTCATAACGGAATCTCAAAAGTGTGTGAACGAGCTTGTTATGACACTTGTCTGTGTGCCACCACTTCATTCAGCAAAGTTTTGTTGTCGTTTTCTAGTAGCAATTTTTAAATTGAAATGTAGTGCCTGTGCTGTGAAACATTATATTTAAAGATTTTAAATTCTAAGAAAAAATGTGATTTATCTGATTAAAATGGAAAAATGTGTATAAGAAGTATGTGACAACACTGCTGCTGAAGACGCCTTTAATCCTTCGGAATAAGAAGTGCGTATAAATAATATGTGAGAACAATGTGTCTAGGCGTGCAAAACGCAGGACCAATCTAATGGTCCCAGCCATTGTGCAGATGCTTGTCAGTATCCTAGTCAGGTACATGCTTAGTGAGGCAACCACATGCAGCAAATGTTAAATTTAGAATTTCTAGTGGGAAGGGTTAAACATTTTTCAAAGTGAAAATTTTAGTTTGTTGTAGTGAGGAAAAATGGTAGTCATTCAATATATATGTGGAAATGAGCTTCAAATGGAAGCATGAATTAAATGTACTTGAGTTAGGTTTATTTGTGCAGGTGAGGTTTTAAAAAAGTTTTCATATTACAGCAACGTGCAACATTCTTTTAAAGAGCAACTGTAATGTAACAGAAGCAACGCAATGTAAGAAAAAGGTTAGGGCAGGTAGATTCTATAACTTGGTCCTTCAAGTGATGAAAATCTTTGTATTCTGAAAGCGTTAGGTTTATGCTACCAGTATGTGCTTCTATTTTGTTTCAGTCAGCCTTTCAAGTGCTGCAGAGGATGGTCAAACATGCAGACCACTCTCAGAGCAATACAACTTCATAACACTGCCAAGCACTCCATGAACTTGTATATAAAAGGTTGGCTCAGCAAACTTACCAAGTTTAAAAGAAAGGGGTGTGTGCGCGTGTGTCTAATGTTCCCACTGGGAACACACTGTCATCAGGTAACCACCAAATGCTGTCTTTGCCTGATCCAGCTGCAACTGCCTTTTCAAAACTATTGTCTGCTTTAGTTATCATAGGTTCAGCTCTTGTCAAGCATCTTCTCTATTAAGCTAACCTTATTCCAGCTGCCAAATCCCAACGAGAATAGGAACCTCAAATAAAAAGGTTTACTAGAATGATTTCTGAAAGTATAATGTGGTGTCATAATTCATTAAATGAATCAATAAAATGTGCTAGCTTTATTTTGTTTTAGTTTCACAGCACCCACCAAAATGATTTAAAGCAGCACAGCACGTGTGACTCATATTATAATTTAAAGGATAACTGTACTAAAGCACAATAACTCTAATAGATGCAGGGAGATCAACCAAAATTACTTCTGCGTTACCTGTACAAAGAGGGTCATCTCAAAAGCAAATCAGTGTAAGCATTGTTCAGTTAGCATTTAACTGCCTGCATCTGCACTGTAACTGCAGACAAGGAATAAGAAGGACTGAGAAAAATAGAAGGCATTAGGGACCCCTCTAGAGACACATTCTGCCTAGCACATTTGGCTGTCTGGAATTGCATGAAATACCGTGCAATAACATGCATGTAGTTCATAATGTATAGCTCCTGGCAGTGAAAACATCAAATACCAGGCATGCAGCGCATAAACCCATCTTGTTCTCAATGCCAGTCGGCAGTTACAGTGCAGCCTGTAGACATGTTGAATGTAAGCAAAGCACCAATTACACTGGCTTGAGTGTATGAGGATAGCTTTCAAAGCACAAGGAAAGAAAAGTAAGAGGTAACAGTTGATGCCTGCAAAGTTGCCTGGTATCCATAAATATATTTAAAGAGCTATAGTGGTTTAATAATATTGTTATATTTTATGTTGTAAGTTGATTGGCTATGAATATTATCGCCAATTTATAATAGTTCATTTTGAGATACAGGGAGGTTTGGTCGGTTGTGTAATGCACACTTGCCAGCTCTACAGCATATTGAAGGAAAGTACAGTATGTGGGCAAGAATCTTCAGGCGGAAGATGCTACCATTTGACTTGGAAGTTACATAATTACACTGGGCAGTGTTACTGTCCCTGGAACTAGAATGCAGTCCTGGAACTAGTATGCAGTCAAGAAATCATAGAAATGCAGCTGACCCTTTTTACAGTTACATTACTAAGTGACGGGTTCCATTTAGAGCGACTACCTAGATAGCACCCGTAAATGCAATTCCCATGTAATGATTCATAAACAAAATGTGTAGGAAAGAAAAAACATTTCTTGTATTTTCCCACGTGATGTCGGTGACACCACTTTCTGCTTCTACAGTGCCACATTAGACAAAGAGGGAACAGCTTTAACCCCTTCATGACTGAGCTTGTTTTTGGTTTCTGTTCGTAAATGACTGACACACTTTTGACATTTTTGCTGTGTGATTCTTCCACGTCAGTAATATACTTTCTTACAAAGTGCACCCACACATATTATATATTGTTTTTTAGAGGACAGATAGGGCTATATATTTATATCACATATGTGTGTCTAACGCCTCACTTAGGACAAATACAAATTAAAAAAAGAGGAAAAAACGTAAAAAAAAACTTTTTTTCCCAGTTTTGATTTGTAGTATTTTTTTTTAACAAAACCAGCACAGCTAAAAAAAAATGCAATACATACATTCATTTATTTGTCCCTTATTTTTAATTTATTTACACTTTTCACTTTTTTTATACTGACAAATTTTATTTATTTAATTATATCAGGCAGTCATTGTGAATTAATCTCACTATTACTGCTTGATAAATTAATAAATTTTTTTTATTATCAGGCTGCTTCAAACTTCAGAACAGCCGATAATAAGTTAGTGACACTGATCCTGCAGCAGTTCAGGATTCAGCTGTCAGTGAATGTTTCAGAAAACTTAAACATTCTACTTTCAAGAATAGATACATTATGTGTCTAATACATAACATTTTGTATCTATTCTTGAAAGTCAAAAGATAAAAAAAAAAAAAGCCAGTATAGCTTGAGAGAGATATCTCTCGATCTATACGAGCTGTCAGAATGCCGGCAAAAGCCGACATGTGTGTCTGCTTTGCTGTGACTCTCAGACACCCGATATTAAGGTATCGGGTGTCTGAAAAAGGTTAACCCCTTCAGTAATGGATCTCTAGATAGTTAGACATCTATTACTGAAAGGTAACCGCTGATTCTCAGCGGTTAGCAGCCTTCTAGTGCAGCAAATAACTCGTCACGTACAGTGTACGTGACGAGTCATTTGGTCCCTTTGTGGCTGGACGTACAGTGTACGTCTCCCGTCACGAAGGGGTTAAAAACGCCACAAAAATCAGCACATGTGCATAAAAGTGGGAAACTATTCAGGTTTGCCGTCAGCAAGAAACCTCTAAGTGCGGCTGTAAATCATATTTATGGTGGATAAACGGGCTCTATTCTGAAGCATAAGAGCATGAGCTGTGATTGAAGGGTCAACCCAGCTGCAGAATTCACCTGTTCTCAGCTAAGCGTGTCCTTCCTTGACAAGTGCAATTTACAAGTGTGCTTTTTATCAGCTAGTTGTCCAATGACAAACACTTTCCTGAAAGTGTAATGTAAAAGCAATACATTTGCAGTCCTGTGGACACAGTTTAGCAGGGGTGGCACTAACTGGCATTAGCCCATGGCAGTTGCAGCTCATCTCCGAGCAGAAAAAAAGTGAACAAAGTCCATATGAAATAATTTGTATGTCTACTTTTGTATATGCATTAGTATTTTATGTGTTCAGTATAAAATGTAGTTTAAATGTTTATGTAGTGTTTGGGTCTGGGAAGGGTGTTTGTGTAACTCTACACTTACTTTTGATAGACTCGTGAAGCATGATTGCAGTGCAAGAGGTGAGGGCTACATTTGACTGCTCAACTAGTATGCAAAACGGGGAGCCGTCGTTTTTAACCTCCTGGAGGGCGCGTGTAAGACCGGTTTCTGATGTCAAGTAAATCATCTCCACCATTAGGCCATGATCCTGCAATCGATGGCCTATGGCAGTGGCGTATTCCCTTTAAAAAGACAAAATGAGGGTTATTGGCAAGTGAAAGACGATAAGATTTTAACACTGAGACTGTGATGGTTCGTTCTGGCACATGGGACACAGCAATAACTTAATGTGAGGTGATCATATTTAAGCATACCGGTGTTGTGCAAACATGTTATAGACTGCAGTTATAATTTTGAGTAAAGCTGTTAATATGCTGGAAATTAAAACAAAAATATGTATGTGGTGCCATTTAGTATAAAGATAATATCTGAAATCACAAAAATGTTATGAAACATCCAAGGACGGTTTAAAATTGCCATATGCATGCAATTTCATAATAAAAAATATAAACACTGTCATTTTTTTTAAAAAATGTAAAAAAAGTTTTTTAAAAACAAAATGTGTTTTATTAAAGAGAACCTTGTAAAAGGGGACCCCCCCCCCAAAAAAAAAACCCCACTTCAAACCTTATATTCTACATGGCTCCCTCAATAATATAAAAGTATGTTTAACCCTGCAACAACCAACCCTGTAATATGTTTTTAGATGGCAGACCCTGGTCCCCCTCACTGCATGCTGGCAATTGCACCTAAAATCTTTGTAGACTTAAAGACTTTCTAGTGTAGTAGAAGTGTGATGTCAATGATCTTTCTGCTCCCAAGAAAAAAACAGTGGTGAGTTGCATCTATAAAGTTTAACACAATATTAGAAAAAAAAAGCAAGAGAGAGCGAAAGGGACAGTATTGATCCCTCTTTGCAGTTGATTGCTAAAAAAAGAAAAAAAACATTACTTAGCCTCGAGAACCGCACTGGTGCACTGGAAAGTGCAAGAAATGTCTGGACTAAGGCTGGGCTCACAGCTAGGCCACTCCTTTTTTGCATGCAGGATTGCCACATGGCCGGGAGTCGCCAAGATGTGAACCGATCATGCTGTGGGTGCCATTATTTTCTGCCGCGATTCCGTCGGTGCAAGTGAACACAAAAGCCACGAGTCGTGTGGCGCACAAAAAAAAAAAGTACATGTACCCTTTTTTTTTTAGCAATTGACGCGCAGATGTCACCCTTTTGAAATCAATGTGTTGTGCGATGTAGTACAGGTGTGAACCTAGCCTAAAGTGTAGCATTAGCAACTCTGCTAAGTATTTCTAACAGGATATCATTTTTTAGAGTGTGTTTTGTTTAATGTTGATCATAATACAAGGGCTGCTTTCAAAAGGTTTTTCCATTTACCTGTACAATAATACAATCTTCTTTAAAACCAGGTAACATGGTACCATGGCCTAAATCATACAGATCGGATTGCCATCACTAACTGCAACCGAGCTCCCTTTCCATTGTTCACCTTTTCCAGCTTAAGCAAATCAGCTTGAATTAATTGTTCATCCCCCATAGTTTAGCACCAGAAACACGGCAATGATCATTATGCTGCATCTCACATACCAACATAAAACCAGCATTATTGGTGTGCGAGTAACCTTTTCTAGCTTTAGAACATTTCATGCTCAAGTGTCAAGATGCCTTAAAACATCTCGTGCGGCGGCAAGGAGATGCTTCAGAACATGCAAAGCTGAGGGGCTGAGATGATGCACAATACAATTTAAGAAGGCCTAAAAAAATACCCCCAAAAACACATAAAACACAAATATAGTGCTGGAACCTCCCTGTTACCCACTGTCAGCTGGTGTACTGGATTGTCCACATTGTTTCTTCAAGCCATTGTCTACCTGGTCAACGATCCTCCTTCGTTATGAAATTTGCATTTTTGTCTCCTTTCTTGCAGTGTATTACCAATCACAATTTTTACCAGCATGATAAATAATGACATTAAGATTCAATAGTATAGAAATATTTGTAACAAAATGTATAAATCATGTGTAAAAAAAATTAAATCCCAATTGAACTTTCAGTTCAATTCAGCTAAATGCATTTCAGGTGCACCAAATAGAAAGGAATTCAATGTAATCAGTTTGCTTACTTTCTAAAAACATAACAGTTTGAATAGTAAAAGGCTGTCCCCTGCCAGTAGCAGCAGAGTGAGACTTTTGCCTCTTGTGACGAAGCAGTGGTCTTACTGCACTAGTCAAACATTCTGATTCAGGCCTATATTTATGCTGAGCTCTGGCTCTTCAGCTATGTCCACACCATGTCCTGACCTGTTCTGGAGCAGAGCTAAAAAAAACACAGTGCATTGCATTTTTGCCGCGTTTAAGGGGTTTGTCCCAGACCAAAAAAGCCTTCCAATGTATCCCTATGGCATTTCTGGGGTCTGTTCAGACCAGCAGTCTGTTCCGGACCAGACAAAAAAATTCTGCTCCTCATTTTTTTCTGGCCTGCAATGCACTGGAACGTATAAAAAAAAAAAAAACATGCAAACGCACTGGACCGCACCTGACAGCCCATTTTAAGGTTAAAAAAAAAAGTCTGGAACGCAGCAACGCAGCAAAACGCAATGCAGCGCGTTCCAGATCTGGTGCAGAAAATTGTATGAACCTGGCCTTAAGCCAATGGGCAACTCCAATTTTAAACAAAACAGAAATAGCATGATTTTAGCAATCACTTGTTTCTTCAGACTTAAGGAAAAATCGAGTAGGCAGTAGGAAGAGAATCCACTTTAAAAAAAATAATGATGTGCTAATCATTATAGATCTAAAAAGGTTATAAGTCAGTTTAACTTTACTCCATTAAAGCAATGGAACTTAAATCAAATGTCTTTTGACTGTTGAGAGGACAATCTGTTTAGAGAACAGAGAAGATGATTCTGTGTACTACATTCAGGCCTACTTACATCTGCTCCTTGCTGATAGCCACAATTGTGCAGTCTGATGGCCTCTCTTTCTGGTACTCATCTTGTATCTGCTGGTAGAACTTTAAATACAGCTTCTCTCTGCGATCATCAGAGTCGTACGGTGTACCTATATAAAACAAACATCCTTCTTAACTTGGATTTTCAAAATCCGTAGGAAGGGCAAGACTTATCTGGAGTGCAATATATAAAATACAGGTTTATAAAAGTGTTCATCATAGCCCTTTTAAAGACATACACACCATTAAAATCGCACTGGCCGCGGTTACTTTTATTTTATTGTATGCTTGACATGCAAGTGTGTCATCAAGAGACCACATTTAGGAGCGGTTTGCCAAATGGAGTACCATTCAATAGCTTTCTAGAAGGGACAACACTACAAACATGAATAAAGTGCCAATTAGTGGTGTAAGCCCAGAAACAAACGTATTAAAGAGGGGTAAATCTGTGTATTAGATAAGGAAAGAGGATTACAGAATGTTACATATATTGACCTTGCTTTTTTTAATTTTTACATAAAAATTATATTTTTTTACGTTTTAAAATACAAAGACAAAACATTTGTAACCAGCATCTAACCTGATTCCAGTAAGAGTCTAGAAGTAATCAAAGACGAGTATACAAACAAGACAAGAATGGCATGGCAATGCAGCCAAGAAGTAAGGGGGAGGGAGAAGGGGGTGGGTTGGAGAAGAGCTGGTTGAGACCCGAAAAGAAGAAAGGTAGGAGAGGTCCTGCGGGGGTTGGATAGAATAGGCAAGAGGAGACAGTGAAAAAAAAAAAAAAAAAGGAAAAAAATAGGGGAAGCCAACATAAGTGGAAAGTCAGGCACTGGAGTTTTGCCAATACAAGAGGTATTCAGGAGAAAGGGTAAACTCACCAGTAAAACCCAGTATTTAAACTTTTCACATAGGCTTTTAGGAGAGCTAGTCAGATCCTCCATGGTTGTAAGGTCTTGAATCCGCTCAAACCAATGCTATACAGTCAGTGGGCCAGGACTTCCCCACAGAGCCGGTATACACGAACGGGCCACATTGACCATGTGTATAAATAACTACACGTTTGCAAGTCTTGAAGGGAATGGAGTAATGATGCAGAAGGCAGGATCTTCAGGGACTGAAAAGCCAATACATTTCAGGATGAGTGGGAAAACTTGATCCCAAAAAGGTCTGAAGCTTAGGGTAGGACCAGATAATATAAAGCATATATTAGCATGTGGTCAAGCACACCTCCAACACTGACCAGGCGATAGATGGAGTGTAAGGCTTCTGGAGTCCTATACCACCTAGTAATTTTGTAACCGGATTCCAGATGTTACTTATGGAACATTTAAACGAGAAAGCGAGGAGCTTAGTATGGGTGTCTGGAGATAGATTAATATCCAAATCACATTCCCATTTTGCCAGGTAAGGAGGGGGGGAATCCAGCATCCTCTTGGAGAAGTTTGTAAACACAAGGATAACAGATCTCGCATCCACCACTTTGTTCGTGCATTCCCGTTCAAAGAGGGAGAGCGGTTGAGCAAATTCACCAGCAAGAGGAAGGAAGTGGGCTAACTGCATTCTCCGCCAAGGAGTTTGCGTAAAAGGTGGAATTGGAGCAGAGGTCCAAGTGGGAGGGCTACTGAGAGCCCTGGGAGGAACTGAAGGTCCCGACATCATCCAGATTGGCGAACAAAGAAACGGTCCAGGAGACTTG